GAACATGAACTACGTGCAGTGGCATCATGACAAGGTGTCCTGCCACCCTGCTGTTGGTGCAGTGTTTCCTGGCAGTTTTTAAAAATTGTGTGTCCTAGAGAACAAGGCCAGTCTAATAAGCAGCACTGGTTCATCTGATGGCAAAGCAACTGGGATTCTTCTCAAGAGGCCCCAGAGGGCCTTTTATAACTGCCTGTCCACTGAGAGCATTAGCTTCCCAGCACAGAGCAGTGGAACCAAGCTAAGACAAGTTGATGACAGAACCCTTACAAGGTGGGCATTGCCAAAGTCACAAGTTCTGTTTTCCAAATGTACCACTAGAGCAGAGTTTCTCACTCTTGGCACTACTGAAATTTCAAACCAGATAGTTCTTTATTGTGGGGGATAGTCCTGTGCACGATGGGATGTTTAGCAGCACCCCTGGCCTTTACCCACTAGGTGCAGTAGCACATGCCCTCCCCTCAATTGGGACAACCAGAAATGTCCCCAGATGTTGCCTGTGTAGCTGAACTAGAGACACAGCTAGTTTGCTGTTTTGCCCCTCAGAGTAAATTCTTTGTTTGGCAGGGTGGGATTTAAAGGCATGAAGAAAAGGCAGAATTCAGATGTATTCTGATAATTCTCCTGAAGGATTTTTGGAATTTTTCCCACTTTTAGAATTGCCATTAGAGCCAGTTTCTGGTCATCAGAGGGAAATAACTCCCCTTGTTCATGCTAAGAGCTCCTGTCTATATTCTCAGAATCACAGAATTTCAGGACTAGAAAAGATTCTTAGAGATCAGCTAGGTTCAAATAATTATATAATCCATCAAATATTTGAACTCCTGCAAACTCAGAGTTTTCAAGCTCTTTGTCACCAGGACACCACAGCTGTCCCAAGGAGAGATTAGAAGATATATTTCCCTGTGAACTATCTGGAACAGAGTCACATGCAAAATAAAAATCAACAGTCACTGCCCTTGGGTACAATGTCGAGTTAGTATAGAATTCCAGACATAGAAGTTCACAATGACTTAAATAACACAACCTAGAAAATGGTCCACCCTGTAGCTGGAAGACCAGCGTGGGGGCGCCGGGGGTACACAGGGGAAACAGGCTCAGTGATATTAAGAGCTGCCAGTGGCCATCACAGCATTTTTAGCAAACATATTCACAGTTCTGTTGCTTGGCCAGGAAAACCTTATTTCTCTGAAACAGCATTTCTCTCTCCTAGTGACACAGCCTGTATTTATTTTCCTGAGATGGTCCACTTAAGAAAGAGTAAACTGAATGCAAGCCATCTAGAAAACAAATCACCCAGCAGTCTGCTTATTCATTTTTCATAAACATCAGAACCATCTCTTCCTAAACAAAAGGCAGAGAGAGCAGTTGCTAGAGATAGAAAAATGAAGGAAGGGAAATAAGAGTTTTCAAAGGGAATCTCACGTGGTTCCTTTAGGACTATAATGTCGGGAAGTAATTCTAAGAAGAACTTCCATTATCCTTTTTAAAAAATATTTCATTTTATTTTTTTCCATTACAATTTATGTCCCTTATATCCTCTTCCACTCATCTCTCCTTCCCACCCCCAATCACCAGACTGCTGTCTATGTCCTCCCTGCCCCCACCAAGAGCTGCCCCCCTCCAATGTTTTCTAATGGGGCAACATCGGGTGGAGCTCCCACCCATCACCGTTTGGCCACCAATATAAAGCTGACATCCTTCCATCAGTTGATCAGCCACAAAGCTGACATTTTGAGTTCCCTTTGTCCTGCCTTCTGGGTCAATGGAGTTTGAAATTAGGAGGGGAGGAAAAAGGTGTCAATAGTCCCTAAGACATGACAGTAAGATTTAGGTTAGAATGGTTTCAATTACCATGTGAGAAGGCCGGCCCACTCACATCACATTCTACAACTAAAGGATCAAAGACCAGTTAAAGCTACACCTCAATGCCCAGGGTGTGATCTCACAAATGGGGAGAGGGCCAAGCTAAATACATGAGTGAGATTAACTATGTAATAATTTTAAAACAAGGAAGCAGTGCTCTTCCTGGCTTCAAGGGGTACTGTCTCTGCCATGAGCTTGGGTGAATCATTTCACTGCCATGTTCAACTGTGGTTGCAGAGGTGGTGATGATAAAACCAAGAATTCTAGAAAGATTTGTGTTGGTTCTTAAATATGTTATCAATGAGAGAGAAGAAAAAGAAAACCCTGTAAAAACAATGCAAAAATAGAGAGCCACGAAACTTTGTGGCTCCCAGGTTGTAAACGCTAACACTCACTTATGCTGCACATTCCTTCTAGAGTGAAACTTCATTGCCTATACAGGTCCCTAAGGAATTTAATTTAATGAAATGATAGGAATGACTACAATTAGAATATAATTGTGTATATATAAATATGCTTAGGGGAGCTTTGGTAGTTCATGGCTGCTACATTCACCCAGCATTCTGGCCTACATTATTAATTTGCCCTACTATGAAGACAAGGTTTGTTAATTAAAGATAAACTACCCCAATGATTTTGAATTAGTGGACTCCAAATTATGGTAGGATAATGAGACACTGTTCTGCACATATACAACTCCGCTAAGTGAAAGCTTTCTGGCTGGCCACATAGGAGGTCTCCTTATTGAAAGATTTATTTTTAATTTTGAACAGCTTCCCAGTGTTATCCTTCATGAAAATTAAAATAAGGAGCTGGAATTTCGTCCTGTTCAGCAAACCTCCTGGCAGGACTGCTCACCATGGCAGAGAAGATGGCCTTGTTGTGTCGCAGGAATTCCCTGTCCACCTTTCTCCGAGATCTAAAAGAATTACTTACACCTACATTTTTAATAAAACATTGCCTTTTCTCTCCCCCCTTGGTGGGGGGAGGATCTTTAGCCTACTTTGCTCTCCTTGCACCTCCTGGTCTGTGGGAGCTGACATAATCTTTTGGCTTGAATCCTGAGGTATCAGAGTCCTAAAAGTCTCCCCACAAAATCCGTGGAAGCCAAGCCTGTCCTCAGCACATCTCCCAGAGGCTGTTTTCTGCCAAAGAAAATGACTTCACCTGCATCCTAAAGCCTCAAAACGTCCATTCCTAGTTCCAATTGAGTTAAGAACATGAAGTAGTGATGTGTTTGGAGGAAAGGTACTGTAGGGCTGAACATAAAAATATTGATTGGATCACCAGTCAGACTCTCTAGGGGGGTTGGAAGATCGCTCCGCACCTTGTTGGCACCTAACTCAGAGACACCAGTGATATAATGCGTTTCTCAGGACCAATGCATGGCAATCCCATTGCATTTTCCCAGAAGAGACCTAACGAAAAACTGGCAAGGACAGTATTTGTGATGCTATTAAGACCTCCTAAGTCACGCTAGTCTTTATAGAAGAAGAAAACCACTAACCATGTTCACAGCTGGAAAGTAAAAAACTAAAAGACAAAAGCATGACCAGATGACCTCTTCATACCATGTATTTTTTTAAAGATTTTATTTCTTTATCTTTAGAGGGGAAGGGAAGGAGAGAGGGAGAGAAACATCAATGTATGGTTGCCTTTCGTGCGTTCCCTGCTGGGAAATGGCCTGCAGGGAACCTGCCTGCAACCCTGGCATGTGCCCTGACTGGGAATCGAACCGCGATTGTCTGGTTCGCAGGCCCGCGCTCAATCCACTGAGCTACACCAGCCAGGGCCATACCATGTATTTTAAAAGACTGGCCACATTTATATCACTGAAGCTGCCTTCTGGGAAATTCTGCCATTCTAGCTACAGTTCAAAATCTCCCCCAAATCTTAAACTTTTTACTTTTTCTAATGAGTTCAGGGGAAAGCAGAAAAATAATGGCTTTGAATTGGGACACTGGAATACTTCTCACTATAGATCAATTAGTACAGACATATTTTACCTAACTATTGAATGCACTTACTGAAACATGCTTTTAAGAGAAAAGTGCAGGAAGAGGTAATAGAACTGTGGGCAATTTATAATCCTTTTCCAGCAAAGTTTGTGGTGCTCACAAGCCTAACAATAGGATAAACCACAGTCCTTCCTGCTCCTTTTAACCCTCCAGAAATAAGGAACAGGGAGTCAGCAATGGGAAACATGTGGCAGAAGTCTAGACTGGAAAACAATCATGAGAAAGCATGGAAACCTTCAGGGGAGGAATGGGGTTGAGCAGGTCATGGGCTGGAACCTAGAAATCTAGATTCTACTCTGCACTTTGAAGTATCTGATAGTCAAGATTCTGTAATAGTTCTGCAATGAATTCAGCAGAAATGCTTCATGAATAGAAAATGTTGTCTAGTCACCTTGATTATAACAACAGAAAAGTGATGCAGTAAATGAGGTATATTAACTCTCCCCCACCCCACAAGTCAACTGTGGATTCAACTATGAAAGTAGCTGCAAAAGTAGTATGTGCTTTAAGGAAAATTTTGTCAACCACACAGATAAAGCTGCCCATTAAACCATTCATTGTTCACAGATTTACATGATGATTCTGGTATAGTTGCATGTCAATTATTTTGTCAATGTTGAAATAAAAAACAAGATTAAAATTATAGCTGTGAATGCTTCTGCTGAAAAATACATCAAATGTAAATATACCAATACACACTGGTAAAAATCAATTTTATAATCCTAAATTATCTGCAATGTCCAACCATGGACCTTGTGATTGTAAGGGAGTGTGACTCCCTTACAAGAGAAGTCCAGCATGGAGTGACTCAGGCCACTGGACTGTCACCTGAAGGCCACTGGACTGTCACCTGGTTTAAATAACTACCTTGATCTTCATTTAATCTCCACCTCCCAGTATAAGGCAGGCTATGCAGCTGATGTCCAAAAAAGTATTTGCTGAATGAATAAATGTCCCACTAAGTGTCTTTTGTGTTATAACACAACTCATGGGTTTATAAATAGATTCATGTAGTTCTACTTTAATTGTAGAACTTCAGTGTCATTCATAGATATTGACACAAATCCTTTCTCTGTATACATTTAGATCATACAATAAAGTGCATACGATTCCTACCTGCTTGGTTGGTTGTCACGGTGACGGACACTGATTGGTCTGGGCTAGGGTTATACTTGGACACTCCATTCACCGCCCAGATTTCAAATGTGTAATTGGTATGAGCCAGGAGGTCGGTGATGGAGACTTTCGTGGTCTTCAGCCCATTCTGCTGTGGGGTGTAATGGACCCCACTTCCACAGGGTCGGCACTTGCTGGAATCACCAGCTCCACATTTCTTGCACACCACATTGTAGGAGATGTCCTGGCGGCCACCGGTGTTCTGAGGACTGCTCCATTCCAAGTTCACCGATGTCTCGTTGACATTTGAAATCAAGTTGAGGGGAGCAGATGGTGGGCCTGGAGCAAGAAAACAGCATACTGTCACACCAAGAGCTGAGGCGACCCTTTTGGAATCTTTCAGTTTATAGAATTCTCTGTAGTTATAAGAAGTAAGATGGGCCCATTTGACAAAGAAAGCAAAAAGCGAATCAGGTTAGCACGAAAGATCTTTTAGAAGAACAATAAAAGACTGTAGGTGTGTCGTGTTCCTTTGTGTGCAAACAGGCGTGAATGCCCGCCACCCTGAGCTGTAAAGCCACTCAGCATCCAAGGAAGCCACTGAACTTCCTTTTGAGCATCAGGGACACATCACAATTTATCGGCTCTCAATCTCATCATCTGAAAAATGGGCATGCAGATGTGACTCTAATCCCCAGGGCTGTTGTGGGACTCTGGTAAATTAAGTTATATAGCACTTTTGAAAAGAAATGATTTCTAAGTAGAGCATGTCATCAATATGGAATAAAATTAACTGAACCGTAGAGATACACCTCTTCAATTCAACATGGGAGGTGAGGATGAAATTGTTTATGGGTAATTAGTAGGAACCGGTTTAACCTGGTTGCAGAGATGTTGAAGGAGGAAGGTACTGGCGTGGAAAGATCTCAACTCGAGGCAGATATTGCACAGAGGCCCCCAGCCCCACGTTCAGCCCTCCAGCTGACCAGGGCCATGCAGGCTCTTTTTGAGCACGCAGGGATCCCCTGTTTTTTGAAATCTGGCTTTATGCCACTTTGCTTTTACGAAAGACCTACATTAGTACCCGTTTTCACTAACTGAAAGAAGTCCAAAGATGGCTTTTGCACTTACAGTGAGAAGAGTGCTCAGCAGCTGTTTTGCACTCCCGGCACCGCACTCCTTCCCCGGCAACCACACTCGCTGCAGTGCCGCCTTGGCTTCCAACTGTGCCTGTCAGCATCTGCCTGTTATCTCTGTTTATTTTCTGCGTCCCTTGGCCTGATGTGCCCTACCGTGATTACTTCTTCACTTGGCGCCATTTCAGCTTAAGAAAGGTTTCACAGAAACTCTCTACTTTCAGACACTGGGGGAAACCTGCAGTCATCCCCACTGACTTCAAATAGTTTCTGAAATACAGTTGGTGGTGATGGCTATTTTGAAATGGAACAGCCGATCCCAACAGATAGTGGTTGATTAATAATAAGAATAAGAATAATCGATAAGACTATAGAACCATGTTGAAGCCTCTTGCTTCTTTCTATAGTTCAGCCTTTCTGTGTCCAGAAGTTACGACATGAACGAAGTCAGGGAGAAAAATCAGGGTGAGATGTGAGAGAGGTCACTTTCCTGGTCTGAGCTGGTTCCAAAGGTTTAAAAGACACTTTCACACCCCAATCAAAAATATTTATTCATTCTGTGCAACACTAGCAGTGCAGTCTTCTAAAAAAAGAGCCAAAGTGAGTTTTAATGAAAGCTTGAGCTTTCTTGCACGCTGTGTCTGTTGTACTGCTCGTGCCTTCGGAATGACTGCTTTCAGGGAAGTCCACTGGAGGCCTGCATGAAGCCAGGAGAAGCTCCCCCTCGTCCACCACAGTGGAATGCACCGCCGCAAAGCAGCCACGGACAGGGAGCTGCGGGAGGTGTCCTACATGAAAGGGTGCATATTTAATATTTATGACTTAGCTCATGGTGATGAGCTGAAGAACTCTGGTGGTAGTGTGGAATAAGGTTACCTCGCTCTCCTTTTCTCTTCGTACAGCTTAACCGAAGAGTCTGTTTCAACAAGTGGTTTCTCCCATGTCCTCCCAAAACTAATTATGTCCTCCCCTGCTCCTCCTTCTGGGAACCTTACAGGGAAAACTGCTGTAAAGTTTGTGTTAGTGGTAAGAATAACCCACAGAAATCCCCAGAAAGAAAATATAAATGTTCTTGTTTAAGACTTCAAGTTTGTATCTAGGGTCCTTAACACAGTGACTGGAAAATAACAGGGTCAAGTAAATGCTTTTTGAATAAATGAACAGAACTCTTTAAAAATCATGGACTCCTGGAGCCAGATAGGATGGTACAGATCATTTGGCCAAATACCCTCATTTTAAAGACGAGGAAATCGAGACCCAGGAAGTGGATCTGATAATATGGAAAGTTTGTGCAATCTAATTAGTGACAGAATCTAAAGTCCATAAGAACTAACTCCCACTCTGGGGTAGTTTCTATTCCACCATGTGGCCCCAATTAAAGGTATACGACCAACAGAAGCAGCAGTTTCAACCGAAGTTGGATATGTAAAGGTAGGAAGAGGGAATGTGTCTCTTCAATCCTGTTCAGATTTTGTAGACAGATCCCACCATGGTGAAATCCATCACTAGTTTGCATGTGAAGCTGACCACAGTCTGGTTTACAAAAAAGGTCAGCCACTGCTTCTTAGTTTGCCACAACTTTCACGGTTAAGTAAGAGTGGCTCTCAAATCCATTAACCTTCTTGCCAAGGTTCCTGGTCCACTTTCACATGGGAAAACGTGAGACAATGAATCAAGCACCACAGAAGCAGAAAGTCAGTAATTAGTATGTGGGACGGGGCACGGCAGTGTCTAAACAAAGAAGAAATGGAGCAGAAAACTAAGTGGTCACAGGACGCGGAGATATAACACAGACACGTGGAAAACAGTGCTGCAGGATTTTAAACTGGAGGGCTGCCAGGGGTGGGAGCCAGCCCGAAACGACCTTCTTCCTTTGAGAAGAGGACCTGGGTAGATGCTCAAGGAGAGAAAGAAAACTTAGACAAATGCAAGTTCCGTGTTACCCCAGTGAATGGTTGGGTGAATCGTACTGAACATGTTTTACGTTTTGCTGCCACAGGGAATGGTGGTTATCTGAGCATAGCTGCAGCTTGGAAATTAGACTCCGACGGAGGATTGAAGTGGGGGGAGGAAATACAGAAATGCCCACCCCTTATGACTACAACATTGGCCCGCAAGGGCCTGGGAAGGGACGCATGCTTTATAAATTAAAATCATAATGGTGGTTGTATTGTTTGTGGGATTGTGTTTTTTTCTTTTTTTTAAACTTTTGCCAGTTAAAGGATAATAAACATATGAAGTGTGTTTCCATTTAAAGGAGGGGTCATCTCTTCCTCAGAAAAGAAAGAATTCTGTTCTCCAGACAAAAGACAAAAGTGGGGATTTTATTACAGCCAGAAGCCTATCTGGGCCCAAGAGTCATACTTAGCAGCACTTTAAAACAACGGCCCGTAGAGATGGCTAAAAAGAGAAGAAAACAGGCATTCTGAGCTCTCTCAATAATTACAAAACATCCAGGGAGAAAAAAACTTCTAGATTACCTTCTCTTTTGCTCACATAATTACTGTATCTGGATACTTAGGAACAATTACATTTCTGAAGGGTTACTGACTTTCTCATCAGAAATACGCCCACCTGCAAATAAGTTTCCAACGACAAATATAAGACCTATCACAAAGAAGAATAAAGGTAACACTTGCTTTAACTTTCCAGTCTTTATATTGGCATTGTATCAAGTGAGCAGACAGCAGCATCAGGTAGCTTTCGGGTCATTGTGAATTGAAGGGTTTTCTGTTTTCCAAGGCTCCCCAGTGCTGGCCTTGGACGTAGGGACTGATGGCAGTCCTGCTGATGGTATTGTGCCACAACTCAGGTCCTTACTTCTATTTCCCGTTTCGTTTGGTCTTGCTAATCAGACACAGCTCACGTACCTGTTTCTATGGCCAGTCTCTAGGCTCCTCCAGAGGACCGATATCTTCATTTCCCAGGGTCTACCATGATTCGGGGTTAAGAGCAAGCTCCATAAATATTTGAGGAGTTGAGGACTGAGTAAATGGCTGCACAGAAAACTAACAAAGTCCCCTAGGGCATCCGTGTCCAACTGCCTATAGTGTTTTGTTTTGTTTTGTTTTGTTTTGTTTTGTTTTGTTTTAAAGTGTGAATTAATGTAGGTTTCTCTGAGCTACAGCAGTGTTCATCAGCTTTACGTACAGATTCATGAGCACTAAGCCCTTGTAAAGGAGCATCTCAATGTAACTAGTTTAATTCAACTTCTTCTAGAAAAAAACACTTCGGAAAAAGTAGGGAGGGATATATATACTGTTAGTGGTTACTTCTTTGGGGGTAGACTGTGGGGCCTTCCATTTATTCAATGAGCATTAATATCGAGTGTCCAGTATTTGTCTCCTGCTCTAGAACAGAAAGGAGGGGAAATGATTCCTTTTATCCTTCCCTGCACAGTTGAAAGAAGGGAAGCGGGGGAAGGGGGGGACACGGGACTAAAGGAAGCTAAATGTGGATTGTGTGAGCATCAGGGGTATGTAAGGGCAAGCCCTCTGCCCCGTCTTGTTTTCAGAGCTCCCTAACCAACCAGCATGGCTGGGAATTTAAAACGTGAGCTCTCGCGAAAGGAGATTAATTTGGGACTGGTTATTATTGCCTTTCTTTCTCTGTCTTGACTTGAGGTGACAATATAGGCTGGCATGAAGCTGTAAAAAACTTTATCTCTGAAGTCAGTAAATTTTAACATTTTCAAAGATAGCCTGGCATTTTCCTTATTAGCCTTTAGAGAACTATAGTTCTTCTTTTAATTTTACTTTTATTGTTAAAATCAAGACATTTTAAAATACCAGTCAATCAAATACTGAAGTGCATTTAAAGGAAAAATAAGTGTCCTTCCTTTATACTTTTAATTTTATTTGTAAAACCCCTTTGGAATTCATGTACAAGCCGAAGATTCTCTCCCTGCATCCAGGAATGGGGATAGCGTGTTAAACTATTTTAAACTTCTCACGTTTAAAGAGCCCTTCACACTTTAAATATAATTTAATGGCATAGATAATAGCTGTACTACCAGAGCCAAAAGTGAAATGCAATAGTCCTTAACTTGCAAATCCTTCAAAGCAGTGTTCAACCTTCTCTGTAAAGGGTCAGGCAGTCAATATTTCAGGTTTTATGGGCCACAGGACCCCTGTAGCAACTGCTCAAACTCTGCCACTGTACTCCAAAAGCAGCCGTAGATAATACCAAACAAACAGGCATGGC